AAAAATATATAAAAAAAAAACGTTTTCTGCTCAGGTCATGGGGTCAGGCTGAGCTAATTAGTAGCTATGTCACAATATAATGCTATATAAAAATGTAATAATAAAATGTTTGCATCATGCCTGTGCTAGTTAGGTTTATATGCGTCTTTTGTGTGAACTGTTTCTCATTCTGAAAGCTTAATAAAGCCAGGTTTTGTTAGTTTATGTTTTGTTACGCTTATTCAATTAGAAAATACATAGAGAGCAACTAAATTATGATAGACTATTTACAGCTGGATAAACTACACTTTAATATGTGATCATTGGTGGTGAGTTGCACATTGTAGATACCCCTCAAACAAGCAACACACTGACTTGATCTAAAAATTATTACAGTGGCATCGGACCTTAAAATATGTTTTATGTAGTTTTTATTTTTGCAACATCTATACTCTGGGGGATATGGAAATAATTGATGTCAATTTAACAGTTTTCAAAGTTTGCATGGCATATATCCAGTGGAACCAGTTAAATAAATGGGAGGAGACCGTTGACAGCTTTGCAAACACTTTTAAGCTCCAGGCAAAACCTGTCATTTTCCCCCTTATCTTAGCTGTTATTTTCATTAGTTTGCCAATAGAACATGTTTAAACCGAGGCCTATCATCAGTAGAGATCTGTCCATTTCTGTCAACATTATTTTTGTAGAAATAAGATGCTGTGACGTGCTCTTTATGAACACTATTGCATTTAAATGATTCATAAATGGATACTAGTCTACATATGGTGATGCTGAGGTTTATTTGGTTAGCATTTAATATTTCTTTTATTCTCTTGTGTTATATGTTAGTAACTGGCATGACAAATACAATGATGACAGTGTCGATCAAGCAGTTTTTTATTTACAGCAATTCCTAAATAAATACCAACGATCATTCATGTCTGAGTGATGAATTGACTTGAAATAGAGTTAGACCAAATAATACTATATAGTTGCATAAATCATACTTTCTTTTACCCTCAACCACACCCTTCCTCCCCCAGCGCTCTCTGGGTGTGACTGTATTCACAGTCTTCTTGGAGCAAAAACACATTCCTCTCTCGAGTGTTAGGAAACCAAGCATTGTCTCTGCAAGTCCTCACAGCAGCACTGAGTCACGACTGACTGAGTGAAACTAGTTCAACACTGCCGTCGATCTGTTAATGTGTAACCATCCATGTTACAACTGATCGTGGAAACTCACCTTTTGTATTGGTTCTGCTTCCCTAAAGTTCAAGTTGATTAGTAAAGAGAAATGAATGCAAACACAATCATTGCATTCACGGTGCCTTGTTTATTACATGTTGTCTTTGTACAGTTTGTTTTTAAAAAGTCCCTAGAAATGTTAAAACCAAACTTGTGGCTTAATATTAACTTTGTTTTCTATAGCGCTCCTATAGCGCCCTTAAAGGGATAGTTCACCCAAAAAGGAAAATTCTGTCATCATTTACTCACCCTCATGTCGTTGCAAACCTGTATGAGTTGCTTTCTTATGTTGAACACAAAAGAAGATATTTTGAAGATTGCTGGTAATCAAACAGTTGGCTGCCATTGACTTCCATAGTAGGGAAAAAAAAATACTATGGAAGTCAATGGCAACCAACTGTTTGATTACCAGCAATCTTCAAAACAAAGCAACTCATACAGGTTTGGAACGACATGAGGGTGAGTAAATGACAGAATTTTCATTTTTGGGCGAACTATCCCTTTAAAGGAGCTTCTCAAAAGCGCTTAACAGTGTTATACATGTAAAATTAAAACAGGAATACAGAAAAACAAGAGACCGCAATATGATTTTAGATGAGTTTTGAAAATGCCAAGAGACTGTGCTTCCCGAATTTCAACTTCGATTTCAGCTGTTGACCCACCGATTGTCTATTTATGCCTTTATCTCTTCACCGTATTGGGATACATTAGTGTGACTGTGATATCACATATCACTAAAGGTCTTCTTGGTTCTCCTTCCAGCATGGGCCCAGGCAGTCGCCGCTCTGATGATCATAGGCCTCATCATCCTCATCATCGCCTTCATCATCTCATTTGTGGCTCTCTGCTGTAGCCTCAACATCGCTCTGCTGCCTTTAATCGGAGGCTTCCTTATTTTGGCTGGTAAGACACTTTCTTAACGTATTAATCTGTTGGATATCAGGGAACCGGGGCTGTTGTCACATTCAGATTGGCCGAAATGCAAAATATGAGTCCAGTCCATGCGGGCTTTGAATCGAACCCCTTTCTGAGGAAGTTCCACAGCAAGAGCATTTCCTTCACTTTGTCTATTGAGTGCTTTCTAAATAATACATGGATGCTGGGCTGGCGGTGTGTGATGGGATAAAAACGTGTGACGACAAAAAAAACAGTAGAGATTTGGCTGTACTGTTGTTGGTGTTTCAGTGGGCAGGACTGCTTTGGGTTATTAATACAGCGGTTATAAACAATACATGGCGGGACGCGTCCCAAACAAGTTGAGACAAAGAAAGACTTCTTATGAAGGGGTGATGTTAGGTGCAGTGTGACGCAGAGTTTACACAGACGGTGCTTTTGTTTAGCTGTCGCTCTCACCCCTCCCCCGTCCTCTTCACTTGCATTCAGGTGAAAGTTAAGAACGGCTGTTTTGTTCTCCGTCGCTTATTCGTTGCATAGCCTCGTCTTTTTAATTTGTCTTTTATTATTTTTACTAGTCATGAATCTCTGTTTTCAGTTTCATTATGAAACGTAAGCTAGCCTGATCTGATCTGATAACTCTGCGTGCTCCCTGTGTGAACTATATGCCTGTATCAGCAATGCTCCTTCAGTTTGAGGTGGAGTTTATGACGGCGCTGTTGCTGGACGCGTCAGACGCAGCCCTGTGTGAAGTTCCCTACACACCCAAACAGGGCTTGGCCTTCGCTCGCATGTCTGTGCAACACTCGCAGATTCGCCCGGCGCACCCACAGAGCTTTAAGCTACTGATTAAACATTTTTATGGACCAACACAAGTCTGTATTAGGTGCTGTTCATAAAAAAACTTGTTGTTGGACACCACAGGAATACTTAGCCATCCATTTTTCTTGATTTTTCAGAGCACCTTTTTGTTGGCCAAAAACGCATTTCATCCACATGAAAATGTGTGAATGTCATTGCATAAGACAAGAACATATATCAAAGCGCATGGCTACATTGTTTTCAGATGCCTCAAGGAGGACATTTAATAAAAATAGGATTGTTTGCTTTGAAATCAGAGTTCCCTGTTGAAAAAAACAGCATATGCTGGTTAGGTATGTTTTGACGCTGGGATGCTGGTTTAAGCTGGTCCTTTGCTGGTTTAAGCTGGTCCTTTGCTGGTTTAAGCTGGTCCTTTGCTGGTTTAAGCTGGTCCTTTGCTGGTTTAAGCTGGTCCTTTGCTGGTTTAAGCTGGTCCTTTGCTGGTTTAAGCTGGTCCTTTGCTGGTTTATGCTGGTCCTTTTGCTGGTTTATGCTGGTCCTTTGCCAGCACATGACCAGCATAAACCAGCAAAGGACCTGCATCCCAGCGTCAAAACATACCTAACCAGCATAGGCTGTTTTTTTCAACAGGGTTGACAGATGAAGTGTGTGATAAAAATGAAAGTATTAGGACACTTACATGGTTATGCTATGAATCATGAAAACATTTGATTTCAGAACTAGCGTCTCTTTCTAAGCTATGGATGTTTGAAAGCAAGATGCAGACATTAATGAGTTGGATTCCTAGTGAAGTTGCTTTGGATTAAATGTAACGAAGTCAGTTCCCCTCAGGTTCACACAGGTGTGCTCTTATGCTGGTCCTTTTGCTGGTTTATGCTGGTCCTTTTGCTGGCTTATGCTGGTCCTTTTGCTGGTTTATGCTGGTCCTTTGCCAGCACATGACCAGCATAAACCAGCATAAACCAGCAAAGGACCTGCATCCCAGCGTCAAAACATACCTAACCAGCATAGGCTGTTTTTTTTCAACAGGGTTGACAGATGAAGTGTGTGATAAAAATGAAAGTATTAGGACACTTACATGGTTATGCTATGAATCATGAAAACATTTGATTTCAGAACTAGAGTCTCTTTCTAAGCTATGGATGTTTGAAAGCAAGATGCAGACATTAATGAGTTGGATTCCTAGTGAAGTTGCTTTGGATTAAATGTAACGAAGTCAGTTCCCCTCAGGTTCACACAGGTGTGCTACCTTTTACCTTTGGCTATGTTCCTCTAATGTTTTGTTTCTGAACAGCGAGCCTATTGTTTTATCAACTGAAACCTAAAAGTGTGCTTACGCTGTCTGTCTTTCAAATAAATGCCACCTGGTTCGGTATTTTGTAAAATGACGACTTTCAAACCGTTTTAAGTGTAACTTGTGAGTGTTCAAATACTTTTAGGGTCACTGTAACTGACCTTTTTTTGTTTTGTTTTTGAACAAGAATAGTTGCAAGCTGTGCAATGCACATCTGTTGTGCTATGAAGTGACTCCGCTTCCTCTCGTTCCAGTAATCGTGCAGATAATCGCTCTGATCATCTACCCTGTCAAGTTCAACGAGCTGATCTATGAAGGTTATTACGACTACACCTGGGCATACGGCTTCGGCTGGGGGGCCACCATCCTGATGCTGGGCTGCGGGATCCTCTTCTGCTGTCTTCCTCGCTACGAAGAAGATATTTCCGGCATGGCCAAGCCCAAATACATCTACACCTCTGCCTGAAACCCCATACTCCACCTCTCATAAAGGACAAAGTTAAGCCACCCAAGCCTAAAAGTCAGTGCTCGCCGATCTCCAAAAGCATCGTCATCTTCCCAAACCAAACATAGCACCATACTGACTCTGATGAGGGCTGTCCGTGCCCTTTTGTCTAACTTTTGGGACTGATGCAATTAACTTTTAATAATTTTTTTATTAATAATAATCATTCACAAACAGACTGGGCTTTGATGTTTTTATTTTTATGTCACTCAGCACAGATTGAACTCCACAAAGCATTATTCCAAATCTCCATATTAGCCCGTTTACATTACAGTGTCCTTCACATATTACATGTAAATCTAATTAATTCCAGTAAGTAATCACATTAATACATCTCATGCAGGTTGCTTAAGAATTTACACTGTAACATGAACACTGCGATTTAAAGTGTGACTGAGTTTGGTTATTTGTATATTTCTTGAACATCTCTACATATATCAGCATTAAGAAAATATTTTTATGACGTAACTGTATTTTTACATTAATGTGTCGTTCCATGTCAGCCTGTTCTTGTTTCTCACAGTAGCGGCTGCGCATGCTTGATTGCACACTTCCCTAAAGTGCTCTTACTGTCAAGCGAGGAGCTTTGTGTTTGGCTGGCCAAAGTGAAGTGAACTAAGAGGGTTTTTTTCCTAATCGTGAGCTTGGTTTTATAGACAAATTGGTGAGCAAGTGGATAAAAATACCAAACACAGCAACCTGATGTTTTTCTGTTTTCATGATATTGAAAAATCTTGATGCATTCATGCCTTGATCATTTAATTTAAATTAGTCCGTTTGATGTGTATGTGGAAAAAATGTATAAAAAGTACTTGGCCTGTAAACTTTGCAAAATTTTAGTTTTTTTTTTTTTTTTTAGTATTTTA